GCTCTAGGTTCAATACCCACTGGGGGTGTGGGGAGGTGGGCACTGTGCCTGGAAGCAATTTCCCAGAATTCCCTAATTCTAGAATATTCTTCATTGTGCTGACAAAAGGGTACCAGGGCTCCTAACCAACTTGAACCCCATAAATTCTTTATCTCTAGATGAGACGGACCTATTTCTTGATGAGTAAAGTTAAGTGATATAACCCTTTGATACCTTTAATATCAAAATATGAAATATCAGCATCACCATTTGAAAAAATAACTGAAAATATATACAGGTAAAGACCATCTTGTGCTCATAATCTAACTGGAGTACAATCAAAAGTCATACTCCGAAGTCCCTCATGGCTTCCCTTCGTTCCAGGGTTCCACTATAAATGAATAAAAAGCAGGATAAGAAGGAGTAGACACAGGCTACACTGGCTTCACAGTTAGGGTCAGAGAGAGAAAGCTGATATAAAATGAGGGGACACTCTCTCAACTCCCTCTGTAGACAGCTCCCTCTCCATCACGTGGAATACTATTTACCTTGCGCTCCTCAGTTTTCAGTGCTGGCTGCCCTGGTGGGTCTACTGACTCTCCATTCACTGTCGGCAAGATCATTCCCTGGGTGAACTCTGAAAAGACAAAATCCCAACTTGGGGAAGTTATTTCTTGGCAGGTGAGATGGGGGTTTCCATCATGAAGTGGTGAGCAGAAAAGACGGTTATTTTACAACTTTACAACTGATCTATGCCAGAGAAATACCTGAGTATATGCTATAGAATATAGTACATTCACTGGAATTATCTTTAAAAGCTTAAAACCTTGACCCAGTTGTAAGCATTACAATTGTTAAATGTATTTGAGGTCTACTACCAAAAGTAGTGCATAGAATGGCACTTCTGTGACTTCAACAGTGGGTAACACAGCCAGTACTTATGGATGCATCTTTAGTCACTTTCCTCCCCTCTGCCTAACCTCTGTAGAACAGCCATAATGAAGGAGTCACACCATTGCAGACAATGGTTCCCACTAAAAGAATTCATCACTTTCTATGCTGGTTCCCTTTGATGGTCATTGTACGTACTCCAACACCAATACCAGAACAAAGTGACACAAATGAGACTTTAGGGGAGGGCTGAGCTGACCACTATTCCTCAAAGACTGGCAAATAGAAGGCTGCCTTTTAAAGGAATTTGTAACTATTCAAAGGATACCTGTTTTGAGGGTGCTGATGTAAATTCCCACTGCTTCTCTTAGAAGTTTTGCCCCTTCTTCCTTCATTAAGGCCACGAGATTTGTGTCAGGCTCATCTTTGGCAAGGCTCACACTAATCTGAGTGAAAAATAAGAAATAGGTGGTAAAAAAATTGAGGGACACCCGCATCCCAGGATGTGGGTGATGATCAATGAGGTAACTGATGACATTTCCAAAGGAAATGGTAGAGTTGGAGTATTCACACAATCCCCTAAGTGTTCCTTGTTGAGTCTTCTCTGCTGAGGCAAACATGGCTAATGTTAGAACCCATTTCACTAAAGTAAAAAGAGAGAGAGAGAGGGAAGGAAGGAAGGAAGGAAGAAAGAAAGAAAGGGCACTTGCTCTGAAGTTTCCAATGGTACCATATACCAAGAAAATCTTCTTCAGATGGGGGTTCTGAATGCTTGGACCAAGCCTGGGCTATTAATTTTAAGTGACAGGTCATTTTTCCCATCTGAGAATAACAGGCTAGGGAGGACTCAGATGAGGAATCAGGAAGCACAAACCTCCACTTCATCCACACTGTTTTCATCAGACAAATTGGGGATCTCCACATGTCCCTTGTACTGTACTCCTGACTTAGAGGTACCTGTCAAAAGCAATGCAAAGTTATTAGTCTCCTCCTTTGCAGGAAGTCTCTGCTCTAAGTTCCTACCAGAATACTACTCTACTTAACCTTATTTTGGAGCACTGGACTAACCTTCTTTAGTCTGAGGGAATGCTACAAGTCAGGTGCAATCAACCCCCCTGCCACACAAATGTCTTTTTCTTCACCTAATTACTGGATTCCAATTGGGTTATTACAGTGTGGAGCTGACAGATATCAGATTGGGCACTAGTATGAAGTTATTCCAATGTGATTGATATATTAGCAAACAATCTGATCATAAGAATTTCATTTTTCTTTTCTGTGATTTCATCCGCAAGAAACACTAGGCAAAGACAGAAAACAACACTCAGTTGAACCAAACTGCTTAGGAAAACACACCACCTCAAACAGCTACTTCCCAATGACCTGTTTACCAGGTAGTGAACCACAGACATAAAAGGTGTTGTAACATTCCTTTAGATATTTCAGATGGCCCTCCTTCCAGCATTTCACAACAGCCGTCAAGCTACCATCCTGCTGAAGCCCAGTATCACAAGGAAACTTCAGGTCTTTTTCAATGCAAAACAATGTATTATAGTATTTATGTATTTCTTATCATTTACCTATATGTACTTTTATACATAGGTAACATCATCATAGACATTAAGTCAGAAGACTTAATAATAAAGCCCCAAATTACAGTCACACATAAGCTTCATAAGAACAATAATCTAACTGGTCAGATTCACACTGGAGGAATCTTAGAAAATGAACAAGACTAGAAAAATCTCCCTCCTCCTTTAAATCATTGATAAGGAACATGTAACTAGCCCAAGGAAATTTTGCCTTATGTGTCTCAACAAAGACCAAAGCCCCAAGATGGAGTGCCAAACCACCTCACTGAGGACACATAAGACCTACAGACAGAAAATCTACTTAGTGTTCCACAGTGGCAGAGAAACTGCAGCACCTAATAAATACAGCTTCAGTCCAAAGTCTTTAAAGCAGCCACTGTCTTCTCCCTTCAAGAGTTTTTGACTCCTCAGAAGCTGTTTTCTCCAGCTCAACAGGTCAATGGAAATGTAGTTAACCTCTTCCCTGATGGCTTCACTACTACTTACCTGTCCAGTTTAGTTTGATGCTCCATTCGTAAAAGAAGATGAGTTTGCCTTTTCTATTGTTAATGGACGCCTCTCCATCAAGCTTATTTACTTCTGTCACTTCACACTTGCCTTCCTCATTTTGCACCTGCACTGCCAGGAAAAGTGTTTTCAGCTTTTCTGTGGACCAATTTGATGCATCCCTCTCTGTCCTGCAAAACAGAAACAACGCTATGGACTAGCAGTACCCTGGAGGATAAGCTGTGCTATGCAAAAGATTGCAGGCCTGAAGGAGGCCTGACAGTTTGCAAAGTGCAAAAACTGGTCTATTCCATTGTATTCACAAACATGGCACTTTGTTTTAGAAAGACAACGTATTACATTTTGTTAACAAGTGCTATACAGAATGCAACAAACTAAATGGAAAGTTATGCTTTTCATTCTCAGCATGATGATATTTGATGCTTTATATGGCACCCCCATTTGACCAAAAGAAAAACTGCACATACTCCTGAGGTCAGGAGCAGACTGGACCATAGGACACAATGTTTAGCTAAAAAAAACCCAGTAAGAATAAACCAATAACTCTGACCTCAAATAGCAGAGTATTCTGACCTGTCAGACCCAGACTGTGCTAAAAACTAACAACTAACAGGAGGTCAAGTACTCTGTGTATGTTAAGAGACAGGGCGAGTGAGATAAGACAAAAATCACTCTTTGCCTTTCTACCTATCAGCTATAAAAACAAAAACAAGCAAAAGGAGCGGTAACAGAGCATAGATACTGTAAACAGTACGAACAAAGTTCATAAGAGTTCAAAGATAAGTAAACATTACTTTTGGAAGACTTCAAGGTGGGCAATTTTTAAAGAACAAACCACAATAGCCGGCAACGCGAGTTACACCACCGCCAACTATAGTTCCGGGTGAGAGGCTCAGCGTCCTTAGCATCCTGGAGCTCTGAGCACTTGCAGAACACGTTCCAAACCTCCTCCCGCCGCACTGAGGCAGCGGTCCCCTATGACTGATTGTTAATTCCACCGTTAAGCAGCAAAATAGGAATTACAGCGCCCTGCCCAGAAGACTTCCACAATTTCCCAGCACAAACGGAGTTTCGGTCTCGCTGACTCCTCCGGCCACGTGTAGTAAGCATCTCCCAGTCAGGGTGGATGCAGCACCTCGGGCGTTATGTTCTCGTCTCTGAAATTCCTCCTCTAGGACGCAGCCGTCCACGTCGACCCTCTCTCTCCGCAAACACTGAGACGGTGGCTGGGTGGGTGGAGAGGTGTGGGACTACGGACCTCTGTCACAGTAAGAACCCACCCCTCAATTTTAGGACAGGGCTGCCTGAGCCTCAGCTCTATCTCGACCCAGGTTCTAGAAGGCACAAAACCCTAGTCTGGTCGGGGAGCTCCTGCGGCCTGCCTCGCTGGACCTCACCAGTGCCAGTTGTTGACGTTGGTGGCGTCCGCCCGCTCCTCCACGATCCAGCGTGGGTCGCCCTCACCCCACTTGGCCATCGGCTTTTCTGTCTCGCCGCCACCAGCCCCCAAGCAGCCGCAGTCACAGCCTCAGAACCGCTTGGTCCCAGCCGCCCGGCAGCGCCTGGAAACTACTAGAAGCGGCCGCAGCACCTCCTAGCTTGCTTTTCCCTCCACCCCACCCGCCTCCCCGCCCGAACTTCCGGCTCCTCCCCACTCCCACCGGCTACTTCCGTTCCACCTTGCCGGAATGTGGGTTTGGGCTGTTCTAGAGTTCCTTCATATTCCCTCAGGTATCCCCAAATAGGCTCGAAATTCAGCCCCTTGCACTAGCATTTCTCATCCTAGAAACACAAGAGACGCGTCTCATTGTTTCCTTGGGCCCTAAATCGGCGTGCTGAGATTTATGGGAGTTGTAGTTTTGTTAAGTGACCCTCGGGTAACCACGAAAGGTTGCGCGGAAAGTAGAGGAAATGACCTATGGTGCGCAGGGGGTCTCTGGGTGTAGTAGTCAAAAAGCCCCGAAGCCCATGGGATGGCGCTTGTTGACAGAGGCCAAAGAACTACAACTTCCAACATGCTCTGTGCCGTCGACTTTATGTCTGCCCCTCGCGACTGTCCTCTTCCGCCCCTTGTTCAATACCGCATCAGCCTGACTAGGAAGGCTGGTCAGGCGGCAGAGGCTGTCGCTGTTCTGAGAGGCAGGGCTCGGTGTGGAAGAGGTGAGGGTGTCCCACTCCCTTGGGCCGTGCATCTGGCTGAGTCCATCCTCTCTGCATCCTAATCTTTGCTCCCTCTTAGTACCCCGCCCTTGGCCTGACTTCTAGTCTGGGCCACCCTCGGGAGCCGGACGGAGTAAGCTAGAGGTTGAGCCTATCAGATAGCCATAATCTTTACTTCAGAATGAGCTTTTACTCTGCCAGGGACACGCCGGGGTCTGGCGACTGCGGAAGACTGGTGGCTTCCTGGACGTTTGCCCGTAGAGTCATCCTGTTTTAACCCACGCTGTCTGGTCTCGGTTTACAAGCCTTTCCTTGAAACCAGGTCTGACATCTCATAGTTGGTTCTAGAGTATCTTGATTCAGGGAGCGTCTGGGTTGTGTTTCGTTTTGCTTTGTTTTCGTGATTCTTCTGTTTTCCTATGTCACATTCTGTCCTCCCCTGGGATTTGTTACCCTCCTCTGTGAGTTACAGGTGATTATAAGACCAGATCTTTGAAGAATTAAAAATCATGTTGAAGTACTTTTTTGGGTTACTTTTTACTTTTTGTTTTCTCATTGAGTTTATTGGTACATTTTAGGTATACAGTATTTGGGTTACTTTTAAAATTGTATCTAGTTGCTTTATAACATCTAGAGCTATTAAATCACGTAAGTCTAGCTTCTGTTTGGTACCACGAGTACATTTGGTGTCAGCCATTGTGTGGTAAAAAAAAAAAAAAAAAAGGGTTCCACAAATTCTCTGGTGGAGTATAGCCTTTGTTAGACACAGTCTATGCTAATCTATAGATACTACCATAGTGAAGACCTGCCCTAGTTTCTCCAGAATTGAAAAATAGGTTGTGAGAAGGACCATGGAAGGCAGAAAACCTGGCTTGTAGTGTGGCATAGGAATGATTAACAAAGTTGCTTTGATATTTAATTCTTTTGTGCCTCATTCTCCTCAGGGAAATAGGAGAGGATTCTGTCACGTCTACCTTAGGAGATTGATCTGAGATTCAAATGAATGATACAGTTACCTGTAAAATTGAACATGTGCCAGATACATTTATATATGTTCTGTCTATGCCTTTGACATTGTGGCCACTTTAGAATTTTTGTATTAAATGACACTTTTAAGTATTTTAAGTATTTTAAGTATTTAAGTACACTTTGTTTGCTTTTTTTTGAACATGTCTTTTTTTTTTTTGGTACTGGGAATCGAACTCAGACCTTGTGCTTGAGAGGCAGGAGCGGTGCCACTGAACTAAATCCCCAGCCCTATTTTTGTTTTTTTGAAACAGGGTCTTGCTATGTAGTTCAGGCTGGCCTTAAACTCACTATGTAGTGCAGGCTGGCCTCAAACTAATGGCGTTTGGATTACAGGTGTGCACCATAATGCCTGGCTAGCGTTGCTTTAAAATGCTTTTTTTCCCTAGCTTTTTCTAAGGTACTATGATTAATAAAAGTTAATGAGCATTAATTTTCTGTCAGGTGCTAAGTAGTTACTATTTTAATCCTCATAACAATCCTATAAGGTAGGTCGTCTGAATGCCAATTTTATATATGAGGAAACTAAGACAGAAACATATCAGTAAGACAACCAATATTAATAGGAGCTATTATTTATATTTACTTTGTGCTACACACATCACTTTGCTAGGTTATTCTGAGTCCTAGAAAAATCATATTTGAACTCAAGGCTGCTTGACTACAACACCTATGTTTCTGCCACTACAAGGGCTAATATCACTACGTCTGCCAACTTTTTTTTTTAATTGAATTTTGACTCCCTAGAATTAAATACAGAAGGATTTTTTACCTACTTCTGGATTCAGTAAGAAAAAATCAGTGAAGTCTGCCATTGGAAGGGACCAGGTAGCAGAAAGTTCTCACCACTGCAGGTCCCCTTAGTTGAAAAGAGGAAGTGAAAGTAGTATATGTTAAAAGCCATGGAAAGGCTGGGGGTTTGGCTCAGTGGTTCTGCCTCCTACCTTGCAAGTGCAAGGGCCTAAGTTCGATCCTGGGTACCAAAGAGGGCAGAGAGCCATGGAAAAGTTCACAGAACTCTTATTAGAAGTGTTTCTAAAGCTTTTACTGAGAAAGGTGCTATTGCAAAATAAGGAAAATCAAATCGATCCTTTAGAATTTGGCACTGTGTAGTTTTTGGAATTATTTTGGTGCTGTGGAAGTTTCAGTGCTTGGTTACTGGGCTAAGCCATACCTTTCACTTTAATCCAGCTGGCATTGATAGCTTAGTTTGTAATTCTAGGGAAAAATTTGGTTCTGGAAGGTGAAATCTAAATTTAGAGTAGTTATGAGGGATTTGTGGTCTTGTGACTAATTCCTTATATATTTTTTGGCTGTGCTATGGTTTTCTAAATTTTAGCCAAGTTTTTAATAAAACAATCAGGATTTTGAGATATAGGCAAGATAATTCTACTTCTTTTAATTGCTTTGCTTTCATTCTTTTAGGCACTTAAAAGGTATACATAAGAGTGAAGTGTTTGTCAGTTTTATTCACTTAATATTCCCAGACCTTAGCATAGTATGTTAGAGATGGCACTCAGTAAATACGTGTTGAAATATGAATGCAGTAATTTTGTGTTATATTTACTTTGATTGATCTTTATGTCTTCAGGAGACTTTATGATGAATTCTTACAACATTGTTTGCCGTGTTCTGTTACCTTTACACATAGTGCTTATGCTAACTGCCCCTTCTCTTTTAAGAGAAGGACAATAGGCCAGGAATTTAGCTCAGAGGCACTGACAAGCCTACCTTGAAGTGCAATGTCCTGAGTTCAATCCCTGGTACCAAAAAAAAAAAAAAAGAGAGAGAGAGAGAGAGCAAGAAGGATGGTATCTAAACTTTCATATCTCTTACAACACCCAAGGAAGTGCCTTGAGCAAAGTAGATGTTCTAGAAGCGAAAGACTGTTTTTAGCCAGTTGATCTGGTTAGTTGGAAACCAAGGGATCTGTTTTATATAGCAGGTTCAGTATTTGCTTTACTGGATTCTTTTCTACATTCCTGATTTCTTGGGGTAGTTAGTAGAGAAAGAACTTAAAGTTTTTGGAGCTCTTTTGAGAAAGAGCCAAGAGGGGATATATATCTGTCTTCCTTTCACTCCAGATGAGTCGAACAAAGGGCGATGAAGAAGAGTATTGGAACAGCTCCAAGTTCAAGGCTTTTACCTTTGATGATGAAGATGATGAGCTCTCACAGGTAGGTTTCCACAGATAATTGCTAAAAGTCGCCTTCTCCTTTATGATAACGCTTTTAAAATCTCCTTCCTTTCCCTGTATCCTGGGTAAGCTGGATGTGGTGGCAAACGTCTGTAACAATCTGAGAGGCTGAGGCAGGAGGATCACTGTGATTTGGAGCCTGGGCTACATAGTGAGTTCAGGGCCACCTTGAACTACAAAGCAAGACCCTGTCTCAAAAAATCAAAACAAACAAACAATAAAAAACCCTTTGTATCCTGGATAACTTGGATTTTAACTATACCTTCATTAGAATCAGAAATGTCTGGGGTTAGATCTTCAGAAAAATCTTAGTTATTTTTCCATAGCTGTCAAGAAATCCTGAGATAATAAATTTTAAAGAGAAAAGGTTATTCTGACTCAGAGTTTTGAAGGTTCCAGTTCATGACCTGATAGTTTCATGTGGGGAGGCAGCACACCATGGTCCAAGCACATGATAGAACAAGATTCCCTCATCTCATGCATGGCCAGGAAGCAGAGAGGAATAGAAGGGATGGGGTCCCAAGGTTTCCTTCAGGGACATGCCCTCAGTAACTAAAGGACCTCCCACTGTGTCCCCCTACTCACAGGGTCCTCTGTGCCAACCAGGGGACCAGTTCTTTACTGCATAGGTCTTTGGGAGACATTCAGGATCCAAACTGTAAAAACCTTCATGTAGAAAAGCATTCAGAGCTGGGCATGGTGGTGCACACCTGTATCTATTTTATAAATGAGAAAACAGACTCATTTTTGGAGGGTGAATAAATTCAGTCAGGTTTTCACATCAAGTCATTTCTGGGAATATATTTAGAATTCAAAAGTGCTTTTGATTCCTTCTAATTCTTTTGCTGTTGTACTGCAATGTTAGCTAAAATGCAAATTGATTTTTGATTACAGAGTATGAAACTTTGGGCATCTTGAAGTCCCAACTGCTCACCTTTTGGTTTTCAAAAGAGAGTGGAGGAAAATGTCGGTTGTCTGAATACCCTGCCTTTATGTACCTTTACAGTTAAAGGAATCCAAGCGGGCCGTGAATAGCCTTCGAGACTTTGTGGATGATGATGATGATGATGATGAACTGGAGCGAGTCAGCTGGAGTGGAGAACCTGTGGGAAGTAAGTAGAAAAGTCCCTATGAGGGGGCTGAAATTCAAGGTTCTTGTCCCTAATGAAGGCTCTCCTTGTCTCTTCAATGCCAGTCAGTAAAGGGTAGGAGGTTAGACTATTACCAGATGAGCATACATGTGGAAGTTTAACCCTAGGAGAAGATTCTTAGAAAAATACAACAGTAATTCCTATCTGGCTATCTGTCTGTTGTCCTAGAGCTAATAATTGGCTGGCTATTTAAGACTCATTGGGGTGCTTTTTAAAATTACAGATTCCTAGGTTTTACCCTAGAGAATGATTCAGTATGTCTTTGGAGGAGTTATTTTGTTGTTGGGAATTGAACTTAGTGCCTTGCATATGCTAAGCTTGTGCTCTACAGTTGAGGGGTAATAAAGACATAAAGACATAAGTTTTAATAAGTACTGGGTATGATTTTAATAGGTAGTCATATTTGGAACTGTTGGCTTTTTTTTTTTTGACACAGGGTTTCATTATTCTGGCTGGCCTTGAATTCACTATGTAGCCCAAGCTGGCCTCAAATTAGAAGTGATCCTCCTGCCTCAGTATCCTGAGTGCTGGGATTACAGGCATGTGCCACCATACCCACCTTGGAACTGTTGGTTTAAATACCCTTAATGGTCGGCGGAACTAACTTCCTTAGCCGCCATGCTTTACTTCTTGGCTGTTATCTAGTGCCATTTAACACATTTGCAGAGTCCATCTGATTTTTAAGAAACACACACACACACACACATTTTTTTTGGTACTGGGGTTCAAACTCAGGACCTTGAACTTGTAAAGCAGGCGACAGAACCACTGGGCTAAATCCCTGGGCCAAGAAATACTTTTAATTAAAAAAACTTTTAAAAAATATAACATGCTGTAACATGATTTAAAAATCAGAAAGGTATTAATGTATACCTTTGAAAAAGGTATTAACGTATTCCATTGAAGTTTCCCTTTTACACTGATGAATCTTCTCTGTTCTCAGTCCCTGCCTCCCCCAAAAAATCACTATTGCTTGTTGATTTTATAACTGTATAGATTTTTTTTTGTCTTTCGAAATGCTTATAGGAATATTTATTTTTACATCTCTGTTTCTCTGAGCAGATGCATACTTTATACCTTGTTCTTTTCATGTGACAACATAGTTTGGAGGTGTTTCCATATTAATATCATTCTCCTTTAACTAATTACATAGTATTACATTGTATGGATTACTATACTTTATTAAATATCCCACTATTGGTGAATTTGCGACTTCCAGCCTTTTTATATCAGTAATGTCGTCAATGATTTTATATAATGACCATATCTGTATACATGAAAGGTCAGTTCTTACAGTGGAATTACTGGCATAGGGTATTTGCATTAATATTGGATAAATACTGCCAAATTGCCCACCATTGAAGTTGTACGAATTTGTACTCCCATCAGTAGTGTTTGTTTTCCTACAGCCTTTCCATTGTAGGATGCTATCAAGGTTTTGGGTCCTTGCCCTGTTACAGAGGACCAATGACATCCCACTGTATTTTCTTTTCTCTTTTTTTTTAGCGCTCAAGATCAAATTCAGGGCCTAGGACATGTTAGGCAAATGTTTTATCACTGAGCTATATGCCCCACTCATTGTACTTCTAGTTTGTAATACTGTTGTTAAGAATGAAGTATAGCACTTTTACATACATACGTGTGTATATATATGTATATATATATATATATATATATACATATATATACACACGTATGTATGTAAAAGTGCTATACTTCATTCTTAACAACAGTATTACAAACTAGAAGTACAATGAGTGGGGCATATAGCTCAGTGATAAAACATTTGCCTAACATGTCCTAGGCCCTGAATTTGATCTTGAGCGCTAAAAAAAAAGAGAAAAGAAAATACAGTGGGATGTCATTGGTCCTCTGTAACAGGGCAAGGACCCAAAACCTTGATAGCATCCTACAATGGAAAGGCTGTAGGAAAACAAACACTACTGATGGGAGTACAAATTCGTACAACTTCAATGGTGGGCAATTTGGCAGTATTTATCCAATATTAATGCAAATACCCTATGCCAGTAATTTTTTTTTTCCCGGTACCGGGGATTGAACTCGGGTCCTTGTGCTTGCAAGGCAGGCCACTGAACTGCTGAGCTAAATTCCCGGCAGCATTTTTTCATATATTAAAAAACCTTTTGAATTTTCTTTTCTGTGATCCATTTATTCATATCCTTTGCCTCTTTTTCTGTTGATTACTGTTTTTGTTTTGATTTGTTGGTTTTTATTGTGCTGGGTATAAGAATTGGGGCCTCACATCTGCTACACAAGCACTGTCCCACATAGGGCTACCAAAGTCTACATTCTCAGCCTCTCCCCCGTTTTTGGTACTGGGGATCGAACACCAGTCCTTGTGCTTTTGAGGCAGGTTGTAGAACCACTGAGCTACGTCCCCGGCCCTCTCAGCCCTTTTAAAATTTAGTTTAGGGCCAAGGATATAGCTTAGTGGCACTGCTCCTGCCTAGTAAGCATAAGGTCCTGAGTTCCATCCATAACTTTAGCTTGAGTTAGAGTCTCACCAAGTTACCTAGACTGGCCTCAAACTTTTGATCCTCTTGCCTTAGCCTCCTGAGTAGCTAGGATTACAGGCATGAGACACCATGCCCAGCTGATTAGTTTATTTGAGTCTCTCTTCCGTCGGCCCAACCTGGCCAAGGGACCAGGATCTCTGATGAAAGCCTTGAGAGTTTCTCAGATGTTGGATGTAAGGATTTATTTGGGTAAGACTTACTGATTTAGTTCTTACTATCTTGTAGGTATCTCATGGTCCATCAAAGAGACTGCTGGTCACAGTGGGTCAACCCATGAAGGACGCGAACAGCTAAAGGGCCGAAATAGTTTCTCCTATGCCCAGCTACCCAAACCTACATCTGCCTACTCCCTGAGCAGCTTCTTTAGAGGTAGAAAATGATGATTAAAGGAATAGAAAAGTCTTTTTCTTTTTTCAGAAAAATTCTCAGGCTATATTTATCATTTACTCTAGGAAAAAAAGATTATTGAAGGATAGTAAGTTGTCATTATAGCTGATGGCTGAGTTGTAGGAGTTGGAGAAATAAGAGAAATTTACAAGCATTGGAGTGGATTTGTAGACCATGATTGGCATTAACCCAATGACAGAGACTGAAGAAATTTGCCTAGTTCAAAAATTCTTCCTTGCCCCATTCAGGGCTGTGCACTGCAGTTGGGAATGTAAAATGTTATGGTCAGTATGAAAGATAGTATGGTAATTCCTCAAAAAAGAATTTAACATAAAATTACAATGTGATTTAGCAGTTTCTAAGTAGTACTAAGAAGAATTAAAGGCAAGGGCTTGAGCAGATATTTGTAAACTGTCAATTACAGCAGCATTATTCACAATAGCCAAAAGATGGAAACAGCCCATATGTTCATTAAGAAGTGCAGAACTGATCTGCAATCTATATGTACAGTAGACTATTGCTTGGGAACCTGAGGCAGAAGAAACCAAGTTTGAGACCAGCCTGGACAACTTAGTGACACTCTTCTCAAAAAGCTGGAGATTTAGCTCAGTGGTTCTGCCGCCTGCCTTGCAAGGGTAAGGACCGGAGTTCGATCCCCAGTACCAATCAATCAATCAATCAATCAATAAATAAATAATAAATACACATACATACATACATACATACATACATACATACATACATACATACATAAATACATAAGTAAGTAAGTAAGTAAGTAAGTAAGGCTGGTCATATAGTTCAATGGTACCACACCTCTTGGTTCAATTGTTAATAGTGCCAAAAAAAAAAGAAGGGAAAATTAAGGGCCATGGATTTAGCTCAGTGGTACCATACCTGCCTTGCAAGTGCAAGTTTCAAGTCTGTTTCTGATGGTAAGCATTAGGCTTTTTCTCTTAATTGCTGAGGGAAATGTTGCTGTTCTGGGGTACAGTCTGGGGAATTTAATAGTACCTTAGATTTCTGAAGTCAAACAAAACCTTTTCTAAGCCTTAAACTCGTTCCTGTATTGCATAATAAGAGTCTGTATATACTGTATCCTTAACCAAGTCTGGACAACTCTGACTTGAGCTCTGTTAACCTCTTCTTTCTGTGTTCTTTACTCTTAGGTAGAACTAGACCTGGAAGTTTCCAGTCTCTTTCTGATGGTAAGCATTAGGCTTTTTCCCTTAATTGCTGAGGGAGATGTTGCTGATCTTGGATACAGTCAGGGGGATGAGGATAGGTAGTAATTAAAATAGATGAACTTTATCTGAATCTACCATCATTAACAGAGAAATGTTCTGATGTTAAGGAGGTAAACATCAGACAATCAGACTTCTGTGGATGCCATTTTAGGGAAGAACTGAGATGTATTTTTGGCCATAAGATATCTTGGGAGGATAGAAGTCTCAAAATGTGTGAGGAGGAGGCAGTAGAAGAAATAAATGATGTGAAACAGGGCTCATGGGGCTTTTCTGAAGGAGCTGTCTGTTCTTTTTCAGCTCTGTCAGACACACCTGCCAAAAGCTATGCTCCAGAGCTGGGGAGGCCCAAGGGGGAGTATAGAGTAAGTTGTATCTTAATATTTGCATGCTGCTATACAATATAAGACACTTCGGCAATGTTTGGCTTCATTTCACAACTCTTTGAACAGATACTATAGTCATTTTGTCATGTAATGACATGGACACACATTCTGCAAAAATGTAATGTTAGGCAGTTTCATCACATGTGAACGTCATTGACTGTACTTACCCAAATCCAAATGATACAGCTTACTATACACCCGTGCTATATGGTATAGCCTATTGCTGTAAACCTGTATGTACTAAATACTACAGACAGTTGTAACAGGATAGTACTTTTATATGTAAACATATCTAAACAGAGAAAAGGTACAGCAAAAATATGAGGCAATAGGAATTTTTCAGCTCCATTATAATCCACATACTGGTGTATGTGTGGTCCATCATCCACCAAAATGTCATCATGCAGCACATGACTATAAGACATTCCTCTTTTAATGACTCATCTGTTTATTGACTGTTTGGACACAACCAAGGCACACTGTTTGGACTTACCACCTGCCAGATGGACTTACAACCTGCATTCAGACTTAAAAGCTGTAACATGAGTAGCAGTGAAGCTTTATGGTGACTTCTTCTACAGTACAATACTGTAATTTTTTGATGGTGCTGTATAGTACAGTACTATAATTTTATGTTCTCATATATTATAGTACTCCGTAAAAGATTTATGCAAATAAAAGCAAGGTAATCAAGTTGGAGGTTTTTTTTTTTTTTTTAACAGTCCTTTGTTCTGGATATTGTAATGTACATACTATATACAATTCCCCATTTAGTGACTAATTCATTTAACAACTCAACTCAGTTGTTAAGTGAGGGATGTCTGTATTGTAAATGTGCACCTCCCCCAAATGCACAATGGCACTAGTGATTGAATCCTGGGCCTCACTCATGCTAGACAACATGCATTTTATTTTTAATTTATTTTGAGAAATGGCCTCACTAAGTTGCCTAGGCTGGGCTGGAACTTGTGATCCTCCTTTGCTTTAGCCTCCTGAGTAGCAAACATATCAGACATGTGAAACTTTACTTGGCTTAATGCCCTTTTGTAGATAAGAAAACTGGGTTTCTCAGTATCAGTGCTTACTGGAGGTCTCACAGCCAGGAAAGTATGGTACATGAACTAAAAAAAGTCTATATTTTCTGACTCAGTCTTAGCATATTTTTCTTACCCATTATCCTACCTTTTGAAAGCTGTACTTTGAATCCCAGTGATCCTCAAAGCAGTCTGGATGCTTGGGTGAAATTCAGTGACTTTTACAATATTGAGATGCTTGGTAGAATGAATATTCTTATGAAACAGAGAAAAGCAAATACATACATAGAGAAGAAACCATATTTTAAGATCAAACAAGGAATGTCTCAGATGTTACTCTCTGTCCTTCTCTTGGCCAAGGGTATTTATTATTAATCATTAGGATCTCAAAATGTGACTAATTGCATCTAGGGGTTGAAATTCTGAACCAGTAGATATAAGATTATTGGTTTAGTCAGTTGGGTCACCCTCTTTGATCTAACTCTTCCTGCTAGTATTCCCTCCTTAAGAAACTCAAAACAAGACTATCTCAGTTCATTTTTCTCATCAGTTACCTCGACAGAATATTTCTCCCTTAGGGACTAAGACTGAGTTTGAAGCGATCTCATCCCTTAACTTTCTGAGATTTATGTGTTGCTAATATTCCAGGATTACAGCAATGACTGGAGCCTCAGTGATACAGTACGACGCCTTCGAAAGGGCAAGGTAAGGCCACTGGATAGAGAATTCTTGTGGGATTCATTGGTAAGCTGCATCACTGATTGCCACAATGAGAATTTCTTGACCTGTGTTTCTAGTTCCAATTTGCTAAATTAAAACTACTAAATGAAATAGCTTTTCAGGAAGAAAATAAATCCACTAAGATTGAAAGTTATCTGTAAAATTTTTTATTTTCCAGATTTTAAGTGTTGTTTATTAAAAGTGAGAGTTTAAATTTAGGTCTTTTATCCATTGTGAGTTAATTTTTTGTATATATTGTGAGATAAGGTTGAGGTTCATTTTTTTTTCATATAGATCCCAGTATTTTTCCAGCACTGTTTGTAGATAGAACTATCCTTTCCTTATTGAATTATTATTATTTTGGTATTGCGTATCCAGCTTGGGTCCTTGCTTGCAAGGCAGGTGGTGGCACCAATGAGCTAAATCCCCGGCCCCCTTATTGAGTTATTGTGGTACCTTTCTTGCAAATCAATCAATCAGATATATGTTAGTTTCTTTCTGGGCTTTTTATTCTAGTTCATTGATTTGTTTATCCGTATGCCAGTGCCACTTGATTACTGTAGCTTTATAGTATGTGTTGAAGTCAGATAACTTCTTTTGAAACTTTCAGCTTTTAATTTTGTTCTTCACTTGCCAAATTGTTTTGGCTATTCTAGAACCTTTATGTTTTCATACAGATTGAAGTATCAGTTTAACACTGTCTATTAAAGAGCTGCTGAGACTTTGATTTTTTTTTTTTTAACAGTGCTGGGGATTGAACCCAGGGCCTGCACACACTAGGCAGGCCCTCTACCACTGAACTACATCCCAGCTCTGGAATTTTATTAAATCTGTAAATTAATTTTGGGAGAATTAACATCATAAATAGTTGATCAAAACAGATCATAGACCTAAATATAAGTAAGTGCTAAATATATAAAACTTCTAAAAGAAAATATAAATGAAATGTTGTGATTTTGGGTTAGGTAAAAATTTATTCCTTAGGACACAAAAAGCATTAATGATAAAAGAAAAAAGTATGGGGATGGGGATTTAGCTCAGTGGCACCAGGCCTGCCTCGAAAGTGCAAGGACCTGAGTTTGATCTTTGGTACCAAAAATAAAAAATATGGTGAAATGTACTTCATCAAAATTAAAAACTTTGTTTTTTGAAAGCATTGTTAAAAATATGAAAAATGTTACCACTGCTGGGAGAAAACATTTGTAAAATTCATATATTATAGAGGAAATTTACCCAGAATATAGTTTTTTAAAAATCTTGTAGTGATAAGATAGACAATCCAATAAAAAATTGGCACACGATTTGACCAGATACTTTAACAAAAGACCTACAAATGGTCAGTAGCACTTGAAAATATGATCAACATTATAAGTAGCTTAAAAAAATGAAATTTAAACCATGAGATATTAGTAAACTGTCACTAGAATGGCTAAATTGAAAAAGATTTGTCAGACAAAGTGTTGGGAAGATGTAGAGGAGCTAGACTCTCATACACAGCTGACGGGAATATATACATAAAATTACTTTGGAGAACACAGTAGTCTGTTGTTTTCTTATAAAGTGAAATATACACTAAATTTATATATAACCTCACAGTTTCACTTCTAGACATTTAGAGTCCAATATGTTAAAAACATATGGCCATATGAAGACAGATGTTCATAGTAGCTTTTTTTTCACAAAGGCTTCCAATGGAAACCATTTACACGTCCATCAGCAGGTAAATGGATAAAGAAACCAATATATCCATATAATGGAAAATAGCTTGGCAATAAATAGGAATAAATTATAAATACCAAAGCACACAGTTTCACTTCAGATTCAAAGAAGCCAGTTATAGAAGAGTACATATTATATTATTTTGTTTTTATGAAAGTCTAGGAAAGGCAAAAATGGTAACAAAAAACAGATGAGCAGTTGCTAGAGGTGTAGGAATGGAAAGAGGTTGTTAATGTCAAAGTGGACAAAGGACCTCTTGGGGATTATGAAAATGTTCTGTATCTTTGTTGTGATAATGGTTACATTGGATATTTAGACTTTTCAAACTATACAGCTAAACAGGACAGACTTAAGTAAATTACATCTTATTTTTAGGTTTGGTTTTTTTTTTTTTTTTTTTTTTGGTACTGGTAATAGAACTTGGGTCCTTGTGCTTGCAAGGCAGGCAGCCGAGCCACTGAGCTAAATCACCAGCCCTACATCTTATTTTTAAAACTGAGAGGCCCCTGTTGACTTTTTGAAGACTTTTGGACCTTAGAACCTTGTAGGGTAGTGGTGGCGAACCTATGGCTTGTGTACTGCAGCTGGCTATTTGTTACCATTGAAAGCTCTAAAAGATTCGCTGTCATTGTTACAGTGCATCTGCTGAACCAGGGAGTGTGTGGTGGGAACCTACTGTCTCAGAATACTGGGGAACATAGTACAAATATAAAGAGGCTGTCTTGGGGGACATTTCCTTTCATTGTTGACCATCCCTCACTGTTTGGTGACATAGGAATATAGGAAACTGTCTTCTGTCTTCTTCCTTTTGCACTGATTATGTTCATACTTTTCCAGGTCTGCTCACTGGAAAGATTCCGCTCCTTACAGGACAAGTTACAACTCCTAGAAGAGGCAGTAAGCATGCATGACGGAAATGTCATTACTGCAGTGAGTTGTGGGGTTTTATTGTTCTTATCATTGTTTTGTTATTAGTACTTTTCTTATTGTTGTTATTTTTGAGACAGGCTCCCACTATGTAGCCCAAGTTGGTCTTCAACTTGTAATCCTTCTGCCTCAGTTTCCCAAGGTCTAAGATATCAGCCCCTCACTGTTGTCATTTCTTTAATTTTTGTTGAAACAACAATTAGTTGTTGAAACATTAGTTTCTGAAAGTTTAAGGAAATAGACTTTTCCATCTGGGGTTAAATATTAATAAGGACCCTGGATTCTCCTGTGAGTTGTAGGATTCTCCAGCAGTCCCTGCTCTAATACTAAGCTGGTGGGATATACAATGTGGGTGGAAGTCTTGATAGTAACCAGAGTAAACATAGTAAACTAGTCTGTGTTATATAAAGTAATCTGTGGGAGGAGAAATGACAGTAGTCTCCCAGGGGATAGTATATCTCAACCTGTATGGCAAGGGTATTTTTTTTAAATTGAATTTATTGGTACATTTTAGGTATACGGTACAGTTACATTGGCAAGGGTATTTTTATGGACATCCCCTTTCCTCCCATCCCATAAAGAGATTTGTTGTCTATACCTGAAAAGGTTCTTAACGAGTTGTTGCCTCATTACTAGACATTTGCTGGTCAGGGCAGAGCCTTGTGTTTGAAAGGTTGTACATTCTGTGCTGCATGTTCTTTGTTCTCTTTTCCTCTAGGTTCTGATCTTCCTGAAGAGGACATTGAGCAAAGGTGAGGAGGGTTTGAAGGAAATCTTCACTCAGCAAGATATGTGCCACATTTGAGGGGAGAATGGCATGTGGCTTTCATTTCAGAATTCACCAATGTCAATCTGTTTCAGAGAGAGCTGAGGTAGCCTGGGACTTGCGAGCACACATCATATGTCTGAGGGGATCTTTAGGGTGATGGCTACATTAGACAAAAAGCTGTCTCTATTTATTAGAGAGATGGCTGGTTTGCTTGAGGAAGTAAGAATCCTTGCTAAACATCTATTTTTGGGTTGATAAGACCTGCAAAGCTGAATCAGTGGCTATGATTTGCCCTGGACCATAAAGGCTGTTGATGGTGAGTTAAAACATAGGAGTAAGCCGGGCGTGGTCGTGCACGCCTGTAATCCCGCCACTCAGGAGGCTGAGGCAGGAGGATCACTGTGAGTTTGAGACCAGCCTGGGCTACATAGTGAGTTCCAGGCCAGTCTCAACTACATAGTGAGATCCTGTCTTAAAAAAACAAAAAAACAAAACAAAAAAAAACGCATAGGAGTAAACCATTCTTAGCTTTTGCGAGGCTTTGAGGAAGATGATATTTAGAACATGTGAATAGGGAGGCCAATTTCATACTTGAGTAACACTGGACTCTTTTCTCCACCTCACACTTTCTTCCTGTGTGCCAGAGATCCTTTTCCGAGAGCTGGAGGTGCGACAGGTTGCCCTCAGACATCTCATTCACTTCCTTAAGGACATAGGGGATCAGAAGCTCCTTATAGACCTCTTCAGGTAAGAATTGATCTTCTTTGTCTATCAAGTTTAAGTACTTTTTCAAAGCATTCTGGGAGCTACAAAGAAATAGAAGACATTGTCCTTTTTTTTTAAGAAATATTTAGAAGGCAGGATACTGAAACGTGAGGGGTCAGCTAACAGTGCACTACAGTCTGTGATAAGGTGACAGTATATATAGCAGGATGGTTAAGAGTCAGGCTCTAGAGTCAGACACACTTGAGTTTAACGCTGGCTCTACCACTAGTGCTTACAATGACCTTGAGCAAGTCAGCAAACTTCTCCAAGCATTTTTCACCTCTGTAAATGGAGACCTACCACGCAGGGTTATTAGGAAGATTGAAAGTGTTCATGTGTGAGTAGTACTTCACAAAAGGCTGTGTCTGCAGTATTAATTAATATTTATTAAGTATTTTTTAAAATAAAAGACCTAGATTAAAGGTGTTTTTTATTGCTTGGTCTCAAGTAATGCCAGTGAGAAGTACATTAGAAGACAGGAAAAAAATATAACTTTCAGCCAGGATACCTAAAGAAAGTCTCATGGAAGTGATTAGGATTTGAATTAGAGCTATTAGGCTTATTAGGATTCTGCTGTCGGAAAGATAGGCTGTTATCTGCTAGAGGTTAAGGACAGTGAGGGATGGTCTTCTATCATGTTTTCCTTCCCTATGTCATTCCAGTCAGTTGGAACTATCTCTTGCCTTTGGGTTAAAATGTATATATGTTTTATCCTTGCTTTGGTGTCAGTGAAGGAATTGAAACTTCTCTTTCAGTTCTGTGGCTCAAAGTAACTCTAGTTACCTAATGATTCCTGAACAGTGATGAGCTGCCCTAAAGGCTGAGAGAAAGCAAATTACTTGATTAGGATTGAGAATATAGATGAGTATCCAGGAATTTGCAAAAGGAGACCTGTTCATGGTTATAGGCTATTCCCTCTCTGAACTCTCCCTTTTTCCTTATCAAATCAGTAAGAACTTATGAAGTATCATCTCTGTGCCAGATCAGTGATGTTAATTTTGGTTAATTCAGCATCAGGAGGAATCAAAAATAAAAGTTCTTGAGTTTTAAGGTCTTACCAAATATATTGTACTCTGTGCAAAAGTATAAAGAATAATATAGAATATCTTTTGGGGATTATTTTGACAGAGAAGAGTGCTTTACTCTTACCAGAAAAGCAACAAAATACTCCAAGGTTACTGTGGACTAGAGTTGGTTTTGTGTAAGCTCTCAGTGCCCTGCAATGCCTTCTTGTGCTTTTTCTTCAGCTGGAAAGAACGGAGGAACATTGATATGTGAACAACAAGGTATTTTGAAAAAAATTACTTATGGTAGAAAGCTTAAGAGAAAGGCTTATCTCATGTACTGAGGGAAACAAGTTTGAATTGTGTTTTTTCTAGACAGTCATCATCTTTGAGAGGTTATGTGCTACACATCAGTAGATAAAAATGCCCTGCTCTCTTCTGCTTCTTCCCAGGTTCCTAGATAGAACAGAAGAGCTTGCGGTAAGTGCAGCCTTTATTTCTATTGGGAACCTGTTATCAGACATTAAGCCAAAACCCAGCCTCCAAGATACTAGACTGACTGAACTATTTCCTTTGGTATTATATCCGGGAGAGAGGCGTCTGGGAAGCCTGAAAACTAATCCAAATGGTATATTGTTTCTTTTAACATGCTTGGGCTTATGAATAAAATTTTTTTTTTTTTTTTTTTTTTTGAGACAAGGTCTCACTATGTAGTTGAGACTGACCTGAAACTCACTATGTAGCCCAGGCTGGTCTCAAACTCACAGCGATTCTCCTGCCTCAGCCTTCCGAGTGCTGGGATTACAGGCGGGCGCCACCACACCTGGCTATGAATAAATTTTAATGAAAAAAATTTTAATGAATAAAAACTGGCCTGATCAATTTGTAATTTCTTTTTTTAGTTGTTTTCAAGTCCTGGTTTGTTAGGAGTTCTTGGGTTTTGGCTTCTAACACTGAAGAAAATGTTAACAGCTGAGAGGATAAGAAACCATGTAGGTCACGAGTGAAGGTAGGTCAGGCTAGTGATACATCCAGTATACACTTTTTTTGTTTTGGTTTTTCAAGACAGGGTCTCCCTTTGTGGTTCAGGCTGGCCCTGAACTCACTGTGTAGCCCAGGCTGGCCTCGAACTCACAATGATCTTCCTGTCTAGGCCTCCCGAGTGCTGGGATTGCAGGCATGTGCCACCACACCCAGACTAGTACAAGTTCTGACTGAGAGCTCAGTGGCCAAGTGTGAAAATTAATTTTTGGCAGATTTTCACAATCAGAATGAATTGGAATGAGTCTGAAATTTCACCAACTTAATTGTATTATTAAAAATTTAGTGAACCATTTTTTAAAGTATGACATAATATAGAAATAAGAATTTCTCAGCATTGTTAAAGAAGGATTTTTCCTTTATTACCGTATCACATATTTGTGATGATACCAATGCATACATACATTCATCTGGCCTGTTTAATAATATTAACTTTTTTGCACAGCAAGATATAATTAAGGAAAATTTTTTTCAGTAACATTTTAAAAAAGGAATTGTACTTACTTAAGTCTTGAGAAAGTTTCAAAAATCTATCAAAAATGGTTAGTAATCTATAGTATTCATTTGAAAAGTTTTATTTATTTATTTATTTATTGCAGTATCTGGGATCAAACTCAGGACCTTGCACTAGCAAAGAAGGTGGTGACACTGCTGAGCTAAATCCCTGGTCCAAGTTTTATGTTTTTTAACCTCCATAGGTTCAATACTGTAAAGAATTTTCTTTATAGTACATTATTAAAAGCTTTGTTGTTTTGAAGTGTGGTTAATGAAAAATAAATGTTTTGCATAACTTGTTTTTTATAAAAGCTTTTTTCTCATATCATTATGTTTGAATTGAGGATGCATATTGTATATAAATTTAGAGTTCTCCAGTCTTGAAAGGTTTGGAAGTGGCAAATAGTCTACTTTTATTTTATCCTAGAATATGAAAGTTTCCCAAGTAGACTTTCTTGAAAAACTTAGGGCAAAATGAGAGTAACAAAAAATTAACTATACTTTTTAAAAATTAGTACATGCTTGCAATACATAGTGATTACATTTAATGTAGGAAATTGGACATATACATTACACAATTTTCTTTCCCCACCCCCTCACTTTTTTTTTGGTATCAGGAATCAAACTCAGGACTTTGCTCTTGCCAACCTAAGTCCCTGGCAGCCCATATACTTCTTAGAAGTTATTTTCTTTAATATTATAAATGATTGTATACCAAATATTTTACATGTGCTCTCTTCGGCAGCACAAATACCAAATATCTTACAAACACTAAACTATATCATTTCTGTATCCTGTTACATTGTCATTTACATTTTAATATACATCATTTGGCTCTGAAAGGATATATTGTACTCTTAATAGTGATATCATTATGTTTATGTTTTGATCAATTTGTTTTATTTTTCATATCAATCTGTTTATTTTTCACTTCTTGGAAAGTTTTTTGTTTTTTGTTTGTTTGTTTTTTTTGGTACTGGGGATCAATCTCAAGCCCTTGCACTGTGAGGCAGGCGGCGGAACCACTGAGCCAAATTCCCGGCCTGGAAAGTTTTTAATTATTGAGGTTTTTTTTGGGTACCAGGGATTTAACTTGGGACCTTGTGCTTTCAAGGCAGGCAGCAGCACTACTGAGCTAAATCCCTGGCCTAGTAATTTTACATAAAATTACAGCTTTCAGAATCATTACTAATGGTATCATTTAACTCTTATAATAACAGCTAGACGTTTATACCTCAGAGTTTGTGGTACTGATGAACGAAGGCCCGGCTCATGCTCAGTAGGCACTCTAACAATGAGCTATTTCCCTAGCCCTACATCAGACCTTTCTTTTATAATTTTAAAACAGAAAACACATAACAAGACTTCTCTGTAAATTACATGTAGAACCTATAGTAGTTGAATATGAATAGTTAGCTATGAACAGTTTATCAGAATGGCATATCCTATTCATGTTACTTACGTTGTCCCCCATAACACTGGGAACTGACCTCGGAACCTTTCACTCCCCAGGTAGGTGTAGTGCCACTGAAATACATCCCCTGTCTCGTACCGTTATTGTTATTTACATGATATACTACTCTTAATCATACACATTGTTGAGGATGCCCAAAATATGTTGAAAAATGAACATTCAGCTCTTTGGACTTTTTTTTTTTTTTTTTGGTAGCTCTTTGACCTTTTAAAAGCTAAGGCTCAAGGGCTGAAGATTTTTGCTCAGTGGCACCACACCTGCCTGGCAAGGCAAGGTCCTGAGTTCGATTCCCAGAACCTTGAAAAAAACTAAGGTTTGTTGGGTGTGGTGGCACAAGCCCAGGACTCAGGGAATTGAGTCAGCAGCATCATGAGTTTGAGGTCAGCTTGAATTACAGAGTTGAGACCTTGTTTCAAAATAAAAAACAAAATCAAAAGCTAAGGCTAAAATATAATAGCTATAATTGGTTAAATACTGAGAGTAAAGCCAAACTCAGGATAAAGGTAGGTACTCTGTCTACTGAGTGCTTCATTATAGATCACCACTGTCCAATACAATTTCCTATGATAATGAAAATATTCTTCATTTGTTCTTTCTGATGTTAGCCACTAGTCACTTACAACTATTTAAATACTTTAATAATGGCCTTGAATTTTTAATTCGTTTAAATTAACCAGTTAGGGAAAGAAGATGCCGTATTGGACAGTGCAATTAAAGATAAGTCTTCTAATGATTTTGAATCACTTTGCTCCTCCCCTCCCCCAAGAGGAAAGAATCCTTGAGAATAAAGAATTTGCTTTTTTTAAACATGAAGAGTCTACTTACACAACTACCTCTCTCTTCTAAGGAGAAAAGAATGGCTCAAAACTTTCCTCTGTCTTTTATAGCTGTCCCATTATCGAGAGCATTTGAATATTCAGGATCCTGAGAAACGAAAAGAATTTCTTAAGACCTGCATTAGGTAAGTATGGGAAAGAAATCATTTTAAGTTTAACCTTTGAGCCAGGCATGGTGGCTCCTGCCTGTAGTCCCACACTCAGGAGGCTGAGGCAAGTGGATCGCTGTGAGTTTAAAGCTAGCCTAGGCTACACAATGAGACCCTGTCTCAAAAAAAAAAAAAAAAAAGTTTTAATACTTCTATACAAAAGGAATGAAAAGAATAAAAGGATAGAATTGATAGGAAAGTAAAAGTTAATGAATCATACCAGTATCATTAAACATTATCTTATTCAGTGGCTCTCAAATACTAGTGCCAAACAGTTTTCCCTGGTTCATGGTAAGCTTAGAAAAACAGATAATACAGAGCTGGGGATTTAACTCAGTGGTTCTGCTGCCTGCCTTGCAAGTTCCCGAGTTCGATCCCCAGTACCAGGAAAAAAAAAAAAGACAATGTAGTGAGTTTTTTTCTTAAAGCTAAATCTATTTAATTTGAAAGAGTATCTTTTATTCTTAGATTTTATTCCCACCTCTTCTCTTTTTTGATAGTAATTTTTTTTCTTTTTGGTGTCAGGGATTGAACTTGGGGACCTTGTGCTTGCGAGGCAGGCAGTGGCACCAATGAGCTAAATCCCCAGCTGTAGTAACTTTTTAAAATAACCTTATATAATAAAACAAAAAGCTGGCAGCTCTTTGTGGACCTTACGTTATTTTTTTGTGTATGTTACTGGTCCTTGAATCTCCACAAGCTTTTATCCAGCATATAAATCCTTGTAAATATACAGTCCCAAATAATATTATTCCTGTGGTGAAGTGCTCAATATTTTTGGGAGTAACGAATTTTATTTTTTAACAGCCTTCATTGTTGAAAAGTGTTTCCTTATATTGAGCTGAAACTTCTCCATATCTCTCAAGACAGGTATAGAGTCTGCCAATAGTCCTTGCATCTCCGGGTTCAGTGTTTTTTTCCAGCTATTTTTCAAGTCACATGATTTCTAAGCTTCACATTCAGAAATTTGTTTCAGTCAGTGAAATCCTTAGTTTTAATGTCCTAAATGCTGAGCTGTGTCATACAGCCTCAGAAAAATGAAAAGAGGAGTAATTATAGTTAGAACCTCTTGCTTGTTTATGTGTTACAAAGATTTGTTGTGATTTACTTTTAGAATAATGTAATTGAATTTCATAATTCTTCCTAGAGTGAGTTGAGTAGAAGGATAACGAAACACTTGCTAAAGGATCATACTATGACTTCAGAGTTTAAAATCTGTCTTCTATTCTTGGCCTTACCTATTGATGTACCATATGACTTTTAAGCAAGACACTGTCCCTTAGCTTCTTTATGTATAAAAATATAGAGAAGGAACTTTGACATTTGTGTTGATTTTTGCAATCTTTGCCAGTCTGCAAACCTACCATAATGCTATGGAATTTACTTTATTATTCTGTAATAAAAAATGGCAAATGACAAAGTGCCCTTTAAGTAGAGTTATGCGTGACATGAGCCACAGAGCTTCACTGGGATGTGGGTGATGAGTAGTTGGCTAGGTTCACTTACTAGCTTTGAGACAGTCACTGAACATCCAGCTCCCAAAATGAGATGATTTTTATATATACCATAGCAAAATCACTAATGACTGTATTTTGTGGACTTTCAGGATCCCTCTTGAATCGGCAGAAATCTTGAACCCAAAATTTAGGCAAAGGTCTACTCTGTTTTCTGCTTTTCTGTCTATGCCTTTAATAGATACAGAGAATTGAGGTCAGACTTAGGAAGCACCATGAGTCTCTATCCTTATGGTGATGATTTGGTTTAGTTGGATTTGTTTTGTTTTTACATAAGAAAGAGATACTAACCATCTGGCCCTCCAGTTTGCCATTTTCAGCAGAAGATTCTGCACATATACAAGACCATTACACACTCCTGGAACGGCAGATCATTATTGAGGTTAGATTCTTCATCTCTGTAATTTCCCCTCTAGTGCCCAGGCCCAATGCCATTCAGCATCTAAGAGCCTTCTATGCTCTGGGTATACTAGTCATTTCCTGTTGCAGTCTTTATAAACCTTTCATTTCCTCCCTCTACACGATACCTGCTTCCTCAGTTGTTTTTATGCATCCTTTTCTCTCATTTGCTGCTGACCTGGAAGTAGTTCCTCCAAATCTCAGATCTTCTGTGTCATCACTGCTTTTTTTTTAGCTGCTTCATCCAACATTAGTTCCATGATTATTTTATGTATTGTAACCCCTGAGATATCCTAGGCAATTTTTTCTTTTTCTCTTTACATTTTTGCTTCATTGGTAGGGTGGCAAAAAATAACTGTTGTAGTATTGAAAGGTTTCTTTTTTTTTGCTACCACTTCATGCACATTGTTTGTTTTTTTCCTTTTGGCTCACTCTACTACAGGCTAATGATCGACATCTAGAATCTGCAGGACAGACTGAGATCTTCCGAAAGCATCCCCGCAAAGCTTCCATCCTCAACATGCCACTAGTGACAACACTTTTTTACTCCTGCTTCTATCATTATGCGGAGGCTGAGGTATAAGCACAATATGAAAGGAAAACATCCCACAAACTTGCATGGCCCAGAAAACCATAGTTCAAATCCAGTGCAGTATTTTTATGTACTCTGTTAACAGTGTGTGCATATAGTTCTCAGAAACCCACCTGGAAGTTTTTCTGGCTCTCAGCAAGAGTGAGCTAAGAGATGAAAAGAGATTTGTAAGGGTTTGTGAATAAGGGTTTTCAGTGAGCTGGCATGCTAGCATAGCACGTTCTTTGATGCTGGCTTCCGTCAGTCTCTGTTCAAAGATTCCATAATTTCCAGGCCAGGGATTTTTCTTTTTTAAGCTCAGGGACACCGTGCAAGCCCAAGGTCCTGAGTTCGATTCCCGATACCCCCCCAAAAATCCATAATTTCCAGTGGATTGATAATAGTGTAGTGAAGAGCAGTAGGTCAGGTAGCACTGTTTTTTTTTGTTGTTGTTTTTCAACTTTTGAGTTTTATATATTTTTCCCTTAATTGGATTAGCAAAAAACTAGAAAAAGCACCATCTATATTAATCCAATTCCTGATAAGCTAGGTTGTGTTCATCTCCCATTAGACTCTGAAGTTTTTCTCATAAATTAATTTCTGGGTTTAAATAGGTACAGAGTGAGAGAAAGTCAGTGTTGTGGTACCAGAATGGCTGAGTGGTTAAGACATTGGACTTAAGAAAGTCTGTATCGTGGAAAAGAAAGTGAGAGGGTTGAGGGAAGAGGGCAAAGTAGAATTGTAATGTGTTATGTACATGTACAATTTCCTATGGTGAATGTTATCATTATGAACTGCAAATTAATAAAGGAAAAAAAAAGAAAATGGGAGATTGAGTTGTCTACTAAAGTTCTTCCTCTGCTTTCTTCCTAGGGGACATTTAGCAGTCCCATCAATCTGAAGAAGACATTTAAGGTAAATATACATTGGGCAGTGTTTTGTAAATGTAGTATCAGAGTAACTGAATGAAATGGGTGTTGCTTGGTAACCTTAGGCAGTAGGTTCTTTGCTGTTTAAGATTAAAGGTAGAATGAGTTTGTGGGACATGAGAGCAGCTTTTAACTGAATGGTATGCAGCAGTGCTGAAGGTAGTGGGTTCTTGATGACTGTGATTTTAAGGGACAGAATCAGTCAATCAGGGTGTACTTATCTTCTCTAAAATTCTCAAATATCTCTATCGATTCATTTTTACTTTCCCTTAATTTTTCTTGATCTCTCCTTTCTAGATCCCAGACAAACAGTATGTGCTGACAGCCCTGGCTGCTCGTGCCAAGCTTCGAGCCTGGCATGATGTTGATGCCCTCTTTACTACAAAGGTGAGTGCTCTGAAACTGTTCTGTGCTGCTGAGGTCTTAAGTGAAAGAAGGGCCATATCATTATATAAATTATAATTACTGATTAACATTTTTCCTCCAACTTTTTATTTTCCAAAATTTCAAACCTAATGAAAACTTGGACGAATAGTATAATGACCAAGAATCTATAACTGTTTCACTAATTTACTAACATTTTGCCATATTACCTAGTTTTCTCCTTTTTTGTACATGTGCATTTTAAAAAACTATTTGAAAGTAAATTGCAGCCAGGTGTGGTGGCGCACGCCTGTAATCCCAGCACTTGGGAGGCTGAGGCAGAAGGATCTCTGTGAGTTCAAGACCAGCTTGGGCTACATAGTGAGTTCCAGGTCAGTCTCAACTACATAGTGAGACCCTGTCTCAAAAAACCAGTATGATATTATTAAGTATAGTCCTCCTGCACATTAGCTCCCTAGATTTATTTATCATACATTCCTGCAACTTCATATGCTTTAACCTACATCTCCCTATTTCCCCTGACCCTGGAAACCACAGTTTTCTATTTCAATGTATTTGACTTTTTCTTAGATCTTCCATATAAGTAAGATCATAGGATATTTTTCTTTCTGTGTTGGGCTTGTTTACCTAGCATAATGTTCTCTAGGTTCATCCATGCTGTCACAATGGCAAGATCTTCTTGGGCTAAATACTGTCTCATTGTGTGTCTGTATATGTACATATATATTGTACATCAAACTTTGATTTTCCATGCATTTCCTGACAAACATTTAACTTCTCTTTTATAACTTGGCTGTTAAGAATATGGAAATGCAGATATCTTTATGAGGAAGTGATTTTATTTCTTTCGGAATATATCCAAAAGAGGGATTACTGGGTAATAATAGTAGCTCTGTTTTTAATTTCTTTAGGAAACTTCATGCTCTTTTCCATAATGACCCCACCAATATTTATTCCCACTAACAGTGCATAACAGTTACCTTTTCCCCATGCCCTCACCAACATTTACCACTTTTCTTTTTTTTTTCTTATCCAGTACTGGGGATTGAAGTTAGGGTCCTGTGCATGCTGGCCAAACACTTGTTACAACTGAGCAATATCCCCATCACTGTTTTTACTTTATTTTGAGACAAGGTCTTGCTAGGTTACCCAAGCTGGCCTTGAATTTGTTATCTTCTTATCTTAGCCATAAAACAATATTTTTTTTACATCAGGGGTCTGAGAATTTTTTGGTTTTTTTTTTCTTGTTAGTTAATTGCATAACTACCAAAGCTAACATAACTTTATCAGAGTCTAGCAAGGTTATATGTAGTGAGAGGGCTGGGGATGTAGCTCAGTGGTTGAGTGCATGCCTGGCATGTTCAAGTCCCTTGTTCAATCCCCAGCACCCCAAAAAAGTTGTTTTTAAAGAAGTTCTTCTTTCGTTGCCCCTAGTTCACCCTGTACTTCAAGGTAAACACTATTGAAAAAGTCTGATCGGTATCTTTCCAGACCTTCATAAATTTACAACTAAACATCTGTGTAAATTTATAGAAGTACTTACTTACTTGTTTAGTAGTATTTCACAGACTTGTTTTCCTGCATTAGTATCTATAGCTTTAAAAATCTGTTTTATGCCTTTAACTGTTTCTATCCTTTGACTTTTTTGAAAACTTCATCTCTCGGCATTTCTCTATTCCCCTCCCCCTATCTATATACCTTGCTACCATGTTATTCTGGTCTGACCAGAGAGACTAGCTCAGAATGTGTTGACTATGTCTGGCCTACGTATTGTTCTCCCATCTTCCTTTTTCAGAACTGGTTGGGTTATACTAAGAAGAGAGCACCCATTGGCTTCCATCGAGTTGTGGAAATTTTACATAAAAACTGTGCCCCTGTCCAGGTAATAGCTCCTAAAGAGAGGTGGGTACAGAATACTCTTGGTGACCTAACTTAGCCTGTTATTGTTCAGTGATAAAGTCTTCACCTGTTCTGGTTTTCCCTTAATGGCAGTACAGTGGTTGCTGCATGGGGCCTTGAGATAGAAAAGGCCAGAGAGGGATGTTCTCTTCCCTTTAGGAATAATCCTGGGGCCGGGGATTTAGCTCAGTGGTTCCACCGCCTACCTTGCAAGCGCAAGGTCCCCAATTTGATCCCTGGTACCAAAAAAAAAAAAGTTATTAAAAAAAAAGAAGTAATCCTGGACTGTGTTCTCTGAGGAGTATTTACTATGTTTGGCCATGTGGAGAATGGATGTATAAATGATCCAGAAGGATAACTTGTTAAGAAAAGGACACTGGGAAATAATGCATACAGTGTGAGATCAGCTCTAGAATGGTGCCTTGTTGGCATGTGGATCTGGCTGTAGGATAAGGAAGAGTGTGATCTTCCTTTTTCTCCTGAGGCAGCAGGGAAGTACTGCCTGGGGTCCTCTCTTTTCCCACTACAAAACTAGTTTTATGATTGATGATAGAAATTGTAAACATTAGATACTGAACTTTTTCTTTTGGTACCAGGGAGCGAACTCAGAAGCAAGATGCCACTGAGCTCCATCCCAGGCCCTAGAACTTTTTTCCCCCCATCTATACATTTTGTGCTTATAGGGCTAGGAATCATTAATTAGAAATACCCTTTCCCACAGATTTTACAAGAGTATGTCAATCTAGTGGAAGATATGGACACAAAGTTGAACTTAGCCACTAAGTTCAAATGCCATGATGTCGTCATTGAGGTGAGTTCCCAAGAAGTGAAAACCTAAGATAGACCCTAGGTGGATAGTGGGGGATTACAGTATTCTCAGTTCTAGATCCTGAAATGCTTCTATTAGATATTGATTAGATAAAGTGGTGTGACAAGAGACCTGCACTCATGCATTATCTGATTGGTTTCTCTATGCTTTTATAATTTATTGCATTTAGAGAAATCAGAACTGATTAAGTTACATAACTCTGAATGAAGTTCTGTGGGTGTCTCACCTCACTGTAGCCTCTTGGCCTCTCCTTGAATCTTGGGTCAAAGTGATAGTGACAAAAAGAAATAAAATAAAATTACCCCTTAGAGAAGGCTGATTTGGGGTTTGTATTATTTTGTTGTACAGACCTGCCGAGACCTGAAGGATCGTCAGCAGTTGCTTGCATATAGGGGCAAGGTAGACAAAGGATCTGCAGAGGAGGAGAAAATTGATGCCATTCTCAGCAGCTCGGTGAGCAGCTATATTTTCCCCTCCAGTGATCCTAGAATGTAGATAGCTCACAAAGTAGTATCAAATGTATGTTTCTAGGACTAGCAGAACCACGTGGATATAAGATTTGCCTGTGGGCCAAGCTGTCAAAAACACTGCTTCAATTGAGACTTAATTGTGATGCTCTGATCATTGTTAAACATATCAGCAGAGTAGAACTATAAAACAGATGTTACAGATTCAGAATATCCAGACTATGTAGTTTCCTGGGGATGGATGTGGTTACCTTTTGGACATAAGAAGTAGCCAAAATAGATTCTGCTATTTGGAGAGTACAACTGGTTCATCTTTCATAATATGAAATTACTGAGCTTTTTGTTATCCTAGAACTTAGTTTCCTGTTATGTATTTTGGCACTTAGGATAGGTAACCTAAAGCTAGAGAATCTTGGTCCTGAAGAGAGCAGACCAGAAGAAGTGCCCTAAATCAGGCGTTCTGTAAAATACAGAATAGATATTTAATCCATCTCTTCATAAGTGAACTCACTGTCATATTTAAAATAATTCTCCTCACCTCCCCAGTTTAATCCTTATTTTCCTTTTTCTTATATGAACTTCCTTCGTTTATTACATTCATTTACTGCCTTCCTTCTACCTCTCTCTGTAGGGATAAGTGGAAACTGATCACACATGTTCATTGTTTGTTCTTTCCACAGCAAATTCGGTGGAAGAATTGAGTGACATTAGCTGCCCGGAAACCTGCCTCATTTCTTCCTTTCCTGCCTATGGAAGTAGAGAGCTCTTCTTTGAGAGAGTTACAGCATCATATCTCTTGGGCCTATCATCAACAAGCAATGCCTGCTACTCTTGAGACAGAAACCAGCACCTGGGTACAGGTAGCTTCAGACTGACTTTCTGTCTAAGGCACATTGTCTAAGAGCCAAGATCTAATGCTTTGACTCATGAGAAAGATACTCTCCACTTGGTGCTCATGTGAAGGTGGGGGCCCACACTGGGTAAGATCTCTCTTGTTTGAGAAGTGACTGCTCCAGAAAGGACGTTTCCTAGAGTAAGAGGAAGAGGTGACACAAGGTGGCTACTCGATTCTACTCAGCTAATTATGGGTATTAGCAGTTTTGCTATGAAGGAAGTCAGAACAGAAACAAAAAGGCTGTCTTCCAAGGGCCTCAGGAAAGGGTGCCAATATTGCTCAGGACCTGCTGGACACACACCTAAACTGTTCTGCACAGAGCCCTCTACTTTATGACAGACATCTCCCAGATGTGTGTTTCTTCAGCCAGAATCCCTCTGCTGCTTCAGTCTACTCTTTGTCCAAAAATTTAGAGTCCCTCTCTGAGCTGCACTCTGAGATGACCTTATTTGGGTGATAAGATATCCCTCTTATCTTTTCCTTCTCTCCCAGACCCCACAACTTGTATGGAGCTCAGATTCAGCAGTGCTGAAGAGCTCTCCCTTTAGGAAAATTTCATTATTTCACTGAAAGTATTCAGAAGTTTCACCTGGGCTAAACTCAATAGCATTTCTTTTAAATACTTAGATGGAGGTTTTATTTTCACACTTAACTTTTGAGAAGATATTCTGTAATGCTAGTTTGTTCCCTGTACCAATATCAACCTCTTTTCTGTGACTCAACTGGGCTTTCTTGATATGCCTAGCTTCTAATAAAGCCATTTCATTCTTGGTGCCTTCTCTTCCCTGCCCAGTTGTTTTGTGCAATAATTGCTCCATATCTAGTCTGTGTCCAGGACTGCATCCAGTGGCCTCTTAGCACCTGTCAGGGTGGTTATGGCAAAGTTCAGCTTTGGGTGGTTAACAGCACTAAGCTGAGAGACAGAAGACCTGACTTGTTTTTCCACTTCTGCCACTGACAGGCTGTGTGGTCCTGGTGAGTCCTTTTTTTTCTGGACTTGTCTTCAGTGAAAAATGGGGCATGCTATGCTCCTATGTCTGGAATGGTGGAAGTGGTAGGAAGAAAATACATGATGCTCCTTCAGAGATGCACAGTATGCTTTAAAGTAACATGGTTCTCATCTGGGACATTGGCCATACCCAAAGATATTTTTATTGCCACACTTGGGAGAGGCAAAGTATAAATACCCTGCAATGCAAAAGACCTCCTCCCCAACAAATTTTCCTTCCCAAAATGTTGGAAATACCAATATTGAGAAACCTTCTTATAAGGAAATTAGACTGCATTTTTTGCTCCTCCATTTTATAATCACCTTTGCAATTCCAGGTAACCTCATATTTTGTTCCTTTCCTGATTATCCTTCCTGTTGAAGAAATAGGAGTTTAATTGCTAAGGTGTGTTAGAGTTATTGGCTTACCTTCAGACAAACAGTGGTAATTTATTAACTAGTGTGTATCAGTTACAGTTCAATCAAAAAAGCAGGAGTGTATATAGGAGTGTATATACATAATCTAATCTAACATTTGTTACGGGAATCTTATTTAGGTATGGCAGCTGGATAAACAATTGGCATAAGATGTTTGTTTTCATGTTTGATGGAAAAGCTTGAAATTCTTAGAGCAGGTGGTTAGGAAGGGAAAATGGATGTAAAGTGAGAGATAGCATGGACAAGCTAGAACCCATGAAAATAGGCCTGGACTCAGCTTTATCCTCACCATCTCTAACTTTGATGGAGTGGGATCCTGCAGAAGAAGCTGGTGGCCTAGCAACTGTAAGAGGACCTGGGGAAGGACTAGCAGTTACAGGCCCAGCTGCTATCCCACACCAACAAAGTACCCAACATATTGGCAACAATGTGTGTGAACTATAGAAGTGCATGCTCCAGCCTGCAAGCTGAAATACAAAGTAGTTGCTGTTGCATTTCTGCCTCCTAGGTTTTTCACAAAAATATCTTCTGTGGTTCACCATAAGTAGAAATACATAAGGAAGGGAAAGCTGGAGAAGAGTTCAGCCTGCCCAAGTCATATTGATATAAGAAATGACATAGGACCTCCAAATGATATAGGGGAAATATAACTCCAAACCTATTAGATGTTTGATATGCCAAGTTCATGTTCCCTAAAATCAAAGAATGAGCTTAAGAGTTGGAAATATTTATTGAGAGGAAAGATACAGTTCCTTAGAGGCAGGTGGGGACCCGAAAGTGGGTTGCCAAGGACCCCACATCTTAGGGGAAGTTTTATACAGGACAACCAAGTGAGTACAATAAGTTATAGCTATGATCAACCAATATGATTATAAGTATAGTCACTTAGATAACAGTCAATCGGCAAGTAAGTCATGTAGTAAGTGTACATGGAAGGAACAAAGAACTTTTCAGGAAGAAGTGTCCAAGGGTCTTGGTCACACTGAGGTGACTGATGTCTATCTAGACTTCATTAGACCAGTATATTACCACTTATTTTAGGCCGGGTCAGTTTGTCTTTCTCTTGAGTCCTGGCTTCCAACAGTTGTGCCTGCCCCTACAGTTGTAATGTTTTTACCTTTGTCCTGACTCTCAAGCTCTTATCAGTGCCTATAATGTTTCTCCTAGCTTAGCTGTCTGTAATAATATTACAAATTATAAAGCTACAACTGAGTCTCTGTTTTTGAGAATCCATAAAGGGTAGAACTAGAATTCATGTCTGTTCAACTGAATATGTGCTGCATTAGTCATGCTGATTTAGGAAGTTGTGAGTTCCTCTTTTTTTTTTTTTTTTTTTTTTTTTTGTCAAAATTATTTTTTTTTTTTTTTTTTTTTTTTTTTTTTTTTTTGAGCAGGAAATATCATTTGCAACATTAGAAAGCCCTACCACACTGTTTTGGTATAAGGAAATATTTCTTAGATTTGATAAAAACTTCCATGCTTTTCACTTCAAGTGCTAGGGACATGGCTTTTAAGGTTATGCTAACCTGTGACATAGCATGTTTACTATTAGAGGTTTTAGAGAAGCCATACAGACAGTCCCATATTGTATGATTTCATTAATATGAAATACTTGGAATAGGTACAGTTCATCCAGAGATAGCAGATTGGTGGTTCTGGGTGGGAAAGTGTAGGAAGTTGTTACTTAATGTGAATGGCGTTTCCTTGTTCTACAGTAGAGGTCATTGCAGAGAATTCTGAATGTACCACTAACTGGTTCACTTTAAAATGGCTAATTTTTGTTTTTTAGAGACAGGGTCCATTATGTGTCCAGGTTGGCCTTGAACATACTAAGTAGCCCAAGCTGGGCTCGCAGCTATCCTCCTGCCTCAGCCTCCCAAGTGTCAGGATTACAGGCATGTACCACCATGCCTGGTATAAAATGGCTAATTTTATGTTAGGTGAATTTGCCTCAGTACTTTTTGTTTTTAAATTTATCAAGAGGACTAGAGACTCAAGTAGTTTCAAATTCTGATCTTAATTTCATCATTACTATAAAATTCATAACTGATTTCTTAAATACAAAAAGAATTGGAAATATAACTCAAGTAGTGCTGAGATATGTATGATATTTCAGACTGCAAAAAGTAAAATTTTGTCAACCCCCCAAAAGGTTCTGTACTGGTCTGGCATAGTATTTCTACAAATAGGGAAAGGAACTTGTATCCTCATGTTTAGGTCAGGAAGACCTGTGAGTCTGGCCCCTTTAAAAATCAGACTGATGTGATCTGGAGTCATAATGACAGCTTTCTTGGGTAATTCTTAGAAATATAATTTTTTACCTGCCTGGATCAGAAGTCCTGAGAAGAGCTCTGCCATTGAAAGGCTGTGTGTTGCTGAGTAATCTCTGTGTGGTTAGTGAGAGATGTATGTAGTTAGGTTTATATAACTCAAGGTTTATTTTCAAAAATCTAGATGCCTTAGCCATAGATAAGGGACAGTGATGTTTAGCTGGGGCTTATTTCTACTCTGTGGGGGGAACCCAGCATTTAGTGAAAAAGGGCAGTTTCTTTGAAATGAGGTCCTAATTGTTTGGTTGGTCATATTTCTGAAACCTAGGTCATGGAAGGGAGGTCATCCTGGCCCAAGAATACCTCTGAAACCTACTGCTAATGGAAATTCACCTGCTGAAAAAATGCCTGTAGCCTGAATTTGAATGAGGTGCTGAATTTCACCATCACAAGTACTTGTGACCTCAGCACACATCATCATACCTAAGCCCTCCTGCATAAGCCTTTGTTCTTCTAGGGTAGGGAGCCAAATTGATTGGCATGTGTCACTGCAGGATATGGTGGCTTGGAAATGGACATACTAGAAGACCTTCAGTCCCTGCAGTTTGAGTATGGGATTTCAGAGGAAGATCGTTCCTGGCTCTATTTGCGGGGCCGTTCTCGGGGACTAATGATTGAGGCCTGTGCCCATGCAGTCTTCTTCTGCAAGCTATTCCAAAATTTGAGGTGAGCTAGGTATCCAAGTTAAAGAAGATAGATAAGTGGCTGAGAATCGAATTGACTTAAACTTTAAATTGGAGGATAAATTTAGCAGGGGGATTATTTTTCTTCCTTTTCTAACCCACAGTCACTATTTCTCTGAAAGGACTAGGAATATCCAATTCTGGAGTCTCCTGGCCATGGTTATATAATAAATTATAGATCAGTGATGATTTCCTTTCAGTGGGTGGATTGATTAAATTATCACTCACTGATTCATTCATTACCTGTTAGGATTACCAGAATTATGCTCCATAGCAGTTAATGATTAGCCATTCTTTGTCTGTTATTGGCTGTAAGTGGGGTCAGTTCATTCCTTTGGGGTTAACCAAATAGTGGAATGCTCCATGACAGGAAAGCCACCTGGGATTTTACAGTCCCTATAACCAGATGACTTTCTTGAAACCAGTGATTTTCAGAGAAGCTCTCAGTTCAGTCCTGGTTTCTGATACCTTTCTACATTGTGGCTCCAGACAGTTGAATAGGAGGTGTGTGTGAACCAAATACCTAGAATTAGGGTTCTGGATTTTGTGATTTAGGTATCTCTTAGAGCATAGGTCATCTCTATTCAAGTTGACTTTTTTTCTGAAATTAGATGAACTACATGATGGGACTAGATTTTTTTGTTTGCTTGTTTAAATTTTTATTTTTATTAGTACATGTTTGCAGTGCATAATGATCACATTCATTGTGGGGTGTTGGTACATGTACATAGCAGATCTTAATTCTTTTCTTCCATCTCCTTTCCCTCCTTTTTCTTCACCCTCTCTCTGTCTCTTGGTCTTCTTCCCTTTTGCAAATAGTCTATCTCCCTGTTTCCTATTATTTATTTTGCTCTTTATATTTTTGGTTTCTCCTATGGGACCAGATATGAATTGGTCATATTTAATATGTGTAACCTATACCCAAGAAGGCAGGCTTCTCAGTGAGTTTGCTTCCTGGCCTATTGATAAGGATATATAAACTTACTGGTTGTACCAAAGACTAATTTTTACCAAAATACAGAACAAATGATGTTGTTTATAACAATAAAAGTAATACTTCATGTATTCTGAGGTCAGACTTTGTTAATCATGAGCCAGAGAAACACATCCAGGGGCTGGGGATTTAGCTCATTGGTGCTGTGCCTGTCTTGCAATCTTGCAAATGCAGTGTCCTGATTTTGAGCCCCAGTACTACAAAAAGAAAGATAAAAAGAAAAAGAAACACATCCAGAACCAGAAACTGGAAGTGAATCTCTGAAAAGACTGGTCTCAAATGCTGCTTTTTGTTGTTGTTGTTGTTGTTGTTTTAGTGGGGGGTACCGAGGATCAAACTCAGGACCTTGTGCTTTAAGGCAGGTGGCGGAACCATTGAGCTAAATCCCTGACCCCCTTAATCTCAAATTCTTTTTTTTTTTTTTTTTTTTTTTTTTTTTGTTGTGAACACCATTCTGTTTATTCATATGAAAGATTGAGATACAATCTTTTATTTGAAGAGTGTGGATGAGTTTTGGTATTTGGTTGTGTTTTCCTACCCCTTTTTATTGGTCTTTTTTAGTCTCAAATTCTTATCCTCAGTTTTTTAGGTCTGTTTGTTTTCATAAAACATTTATTTTTATAAATTCTAACACTCTTAAAAAGCAAAGTTACCTAGGGGGCTGAGGGTTTAGCTCAGTGCCAACTCACGTTCCTTGTAAGTGCAAGGTCCTGAGCTTGATTCCTGGGTACTAACAAAACAAAATAAAACAAAAGCAAAGTTAGTTATCTAGTTTCTCAAGTCTTCAAAAGTGGAATAGCAAACTGGAAAGAGGAGGTGCATGGTAAGAGAAGGGTTCCCTCATCCCAATAGCAATGAAAATTGACAACTGAGAGTGACATCAACAAGGTAGAAGAATAGGAAGTCAAAGATCTCATAACTCCACAGAGACACTGACTTAACAGAAGTAAATGGTCTGAAAAGCCTGTGTGAGAACTCCAGAAACCAGTTAAGTTGCAGTGTACCAGGCAAGAACAAAGTCATTAACAGGTTCATTGAAAGGATGAATGAAAATGGTTATAGTTTGAGGTAGTCCCTTCCCTAAACCAGTACAGTGTGATATGATCAGGAAAGAACACCTGGCTTTTACTGTGGAGAGAGACAAGTGGAATATACAGTATGCTGTACACTCCAACTTTTCATGCTTGACAGGGAACCAGTGTACTTTGAGAACAAAGAAGAGCTGTGGTTTTTACAGCACAGAGAACCTGCAGTACCACAGAAAGACACCAGAGTGCAGGAGATTACAAACTCCTGCCAAACAAAACAGGCAACCAACCCTCTCTAATTGGGAAATTATAAACAAAAGCCCCCAAAAGATACATTGCCCAGAAAAGGCTTGAGAGCATTCCAAAATCTCCCACTGAGTTGATTGGTAAAGGTCTTTTCCCGTATGAAAGCAGACTATAAAGATTGAGAGAGGTGGCTCTTTTTTTAATTTCCCAAACCCCAGGAAAGCATATCAAGGAAATGTGGCTCGATGAAGGGAACAAACTTAACAGTCTGAAAACCAACTCTAAAGAAGCAGATATGTGAATTACTTAAAGAATTCAACATATTTTTAAAGAAGCTCAGTGAGGGCTGGATTTTAGCTCACTGGCACCACGCCTGCCTCGCAAGCACAAGGTTCTGAGTTTAATTCCTGGTACAAAAACAAACAAACAAAAAACTCAGTGAGCTACAAGAGAAGACAGGTGAACATTTAAATGAAATCAGGAAAACAGTATGTGAAAGTGAGAAACTTTTTTTTTAAGTCCCAAATTTCTTGAGCTGCAGGATATAATAACTGAAATGAAATTCACAAGAGGGTTTCAACATCAGGCTTAATCAAGCAGAAGAATCAGTGAATTCAAGGTGGAAATTACTAAGTCTGAGCAACAAAAAGAATAAAGTAAAGAAAGTTTAAGAGACTCAGGACACCATTAAGCAGACCAATATGTGCATTCTGAAAATTTAAGAAGGGACAGTGAGGTAGATAACTTATTTGAAGAAATAATGGCCCCCAAACTTTCCAAATCTGAGGAAGGAAATAGACAACTAAATTCAAGAATTCAAAGCACTCTAACTTGAATGAACCCAAAGAGTCCTACAGTAAAACAAACTTTGGGAATATGAAACCCATCAAAAAAACAACTCATATGCAAAGGAGCTTCTATAGGGTTATCAGTGTTGGTTTTTTTTGTTTGTTTGTTTGTTTTTGTTTTCTTTTTCAGCAAAAATATAGCAGGCCAGAAGAAGTGGTTTGATATATTCAAAGAGCTGAAAGAATATTGTATCTGGAATTCAATGGCAAATTCTAAAGATGCTGCCTAAAGGGAAAAGTGGTTCAGCAAAAGAGGGTTAGGGGAACCAGTCTTTAGGGGTTATAGTGCTGACCAGGCTCAGGGACCCAAAAGTGGTGGCAAAGCAGTAAAGGTCAGACACATCCTATGTAAAAAACATGGCAACGTCATGGCAGCCATGGAAAAGTTAAAGTCTAGAATGATAGAATGAGATTCAATGAAGTGACCACATAATATAGTGAAGACAAAGCCAGGCCAGGGGGTGACTTGGGTTGGATGACCAGAGGGTCCACAGTGGGACCATTTCAAGAAGTAGCATTTGCTTACATGTGAGTGGAATGGCTATTCCTATGTGTATAGACCCCCTGGTTAGGGACAAAATTTGTATATCATTATGGTTGAAAGAAAATAAAATCATTTGAAGCACACAAAATATACTATAAGTGGCAAAACTGTTCCTCAGAAATCAAGAAGAAAAAGGACTTCCTAAAGATAAGGGAATTTGTCATTGCTAGACATGCCTTAACAGGAAATGCTAAAAGAGTCCCTTAAACATTAAAAGACACTAGGTTTTTACATGGAAGTTTAAACTTCTGGTAAATATAAATATGTATGTAAGTATATAACCCTTCAATGTTATAATGGGTGGTGCATAAATCATTTTTAATTCTGATATAGGGTTTAAAAGATAAAAGCATGAAAAATAACTATAAAACTTACCGGATACAAAATACAAAAAGATATAATTTGTGATATCAATACAAAGTAGACATGGGATAAGATGCAAAGGGCTAGTTTTTTGTTTTGTTTTGTTTAGACAGGGTTGTACTATGTATTCCAGGCTGGCCTTGAACTCATGGCAAGCCTCTTGTCTCAGCCTCCCAAATGCTGGGATTACAAGCATGTGCCACTACCTTAGCAGGTTTTTCTGTGTAATTGAAGTAAGGCTGTCAGTTTAAAATAGGTTATTAAAGCTGCAAGATTTTTTGTGTAATTCCCATACATGATCACATACACATGAAATTCCTATGGATGATACACAAAAGAAAATAAAAGATGGTATTTTTTTTTTATGCAATGGAGTACTGCTCTGCCATAAGGCAGGATGAGCTTCGGACATTTATAGCTAAATGGATGGACCTTGAGACCATACTCTTAAGTGAAATAAATCAGACATATATGTTTAAATGCCACATTGTTTCTCTGGTGTGAGAAACTGAATGTGGAAATAAGGACTGAGATATATAATGGATGTTGGAAAATGGGAAGAAAGTATTAAGATGGGAAGGGGAATAAGGGAGAGGGGAAGGAGAAAGGAAAGAAGCAACAGAAGGGAAAATAGAAGGAAAAACCCCGGAAATAAGCTTTTGTATATAGGGGAGGGAGACTTGGGGGGAATGGGATAAAATAAAATTGATTTTTTAAAAATGAGAAGAAAATCATAGAATATTATTACTTGTTTTTTTAAAGTGAAACACAAGACCAGTAGTTGAAAAGAGGAACAAAATAATTAAAAGACATACAGAAAGCAATGAACAAAATGGCAAGAGGTAGTGCTGCTCTTGTCAGTAATTGCTTTGAACATAAATGTATTAAATTCAAAAGACAGAATGGCTCGATGGATAAGAAAATAAGATTAAAAAAGAAAAGATCCACTATCTACAAGAG